CAGCTACTGAGTTTGAACTACTGACCTTGAGGTTAGCTGCCCAATACTTACCTAACGGGGGCCACCAGTACTCCTTTCAGAGGCCATCGTTGTTGCTGCCACGGTTAGGCACCAAGTCAGTTCCAACCCCTCTCGACCCTGTGCACTACAAAATGAAACACTACCGAGTCCTGCACCATCCTCACAATTTTTCCTATGCATTTAGGAAGATACAAACCCAAACCCAAAATGAGATACCACCTTCTGTTGGGCCGTTCGAATGATCAAAACAGGAAACAGGTATCAGTGAGGTTGTGGAGAAACTGGGACCCTCATCTACTGCTGATGGGAATGTTACATGGTCCAGCCACTGTGGAAGGCGGCTTGGCAGTACTTCCAAACGTGCATAGACTGAGCTGATACTCCAGCAGCCCCAGTCCAGAAGTGGGGAAGGAGCACTCATGTGCATTGCAACACTTCTCGCAATACGCAAAAGGTGGCACCAGCCGCCACCCAGTGGATGAGAGGGTCAACAGGATTCAGTGTGTACGGAGAACAGGACACGATTCAACTGTGAAGAACAACAACGCTCTGGTGGCGTTGAGAGTCTCAGAAACCCACGGGGGCAGTTCTACCCTGCCCTCGACGGTCGCTCGCTCACTGCCCATCCAGTCGATTCCCACTCCTGACGACCCCATAGGACAGGGTAGAACTGCCTTGGTGAGCTTTTCCGAGACGGTAACTTTGATAGGCATAGAAAGTCCCCTGTCTTCCGCAGAGTTGCAGGTGCTTTCTCTGCTGACGCTGAGGTTAGAAGCCCAAGTCAGGCTGGGCCCCACAGCAATGAGTGGAGTGAGGGGTGAGGGTGGGAGGGAGTGGAGTTTCAGTTTGCGGCCACTGAGTTTACGTGAATGGTGGTTGGATGTTTTCGACTCTAAAATTTAGAGGAAGATAGCGATCATGGGGGCACCACACGAAAAATGTCATGGAGTGTAAACGCGGAAGCCGTGCTGGGAAATGTTTGGGTCTGTATATTGGAAGGACAATAAAAATATTTGAACAACCGATGCCCAAAAGGCCGTTGCAGTCGTGACTGTAAAACTGCACCGCGATCCTGCCTCACGAAACCCAACCAAAGTTGCCTTTGCAAAAACAGGTGGCCAGCCTGCGCTGTGGTTTGTAGATGTGGTTCATTTTTAATATCAAAGTATTGTTTATCACCGGCACTGAGTTTCTGGCGTCCCACTACATTTCGGATTCCAAGTGAACGCGCCCCCCCCCCCCCTTTTAACAAACAGTAGTGACTCCTATGATGACTGACCTGCGCCCGGTCTGCCCCCGCCCACTACCTTTGCTTTCCACCTGCAAGGGGACACACCCGGCAGCGTGCTCTCTACCTGCTCTGGGCCACCTGTGGATGGCATGTAGCGCCGGGCTGGCCCCTCTAGAGCTTCCAGCCGGCCAATGGGGCGGGGGCCCCTCCCGATTCAGGCCGCGTCCCATGGAGCGGCCAATGGGAGCGCGGCATGCAAATGAGCAGGTGCGGTGGCGGCGGGCCC